GGGGTGCGAAGCCTCTGGGGGACCCCTCCTGGGACCCCCCCCAAAAAAAACCGCTGTGAAACCCTCCGGGCCAAGGAAAGCAAGAAAACTCCAAAAACCCTATAAAAAACCATTTGAAACTCTCCTGGGACCCCCCCCCCCCCAAACAAAAACCAAAAAAAACACCCAAAAAACAACACCCGAAAACCTCCTCCTGGGACCCGCCCCCCCAAAAACAAAACCTTTGGAACCCTCCGGGCCAAGGAAAGCAAAAATGGCGTCCTCCCCGAGCGGCCGCGTCATGGCGCCGTAGAGCTCCGGGCGCCGCATGGCGAGGAGGTCGTCCGTCCAGGAGCAGGCCTTGGACTCCGCCTCGAAGGGCCGGACCTCGCCGACCTGGGCCGCCGCGGCTGCGTGAAGCCCACGCTCCTCCTCCTGATCCTCCTCCTCCTCCTCCTCCTCCTCCTCCCGCTCCCTCCTCCTCCCCCTCCTCCTCCTCCTCCTCCTCCTCCTCCTCCTCCTCCTCCCGCTCCCCCCTCCTCCTCCTCCTCCTCCTCCTCCTCCTCCTCCGCCTCCTCCTCCTCCTCCTCCTCCTCCTCCTCCTTCTCCCGGACCCGCTGGCTCTCAGGGATCCTCGATCTATCATCTTCGTGCGGTTTTAACCCTCACCTTGCCTGCGTCGAATGTCAGGAGGAGCTAAAGAAAACGTGCATGCCCAGCATGTGCAATGTTCGGGCTTCCAAGGGGTTCTCGAAAACGCAAGAGACCTCCCAAACTGCCCCAAGACGGCCCCGCGGAGGCCTGGACGTTGGCAAATGTGAGCCTGTCAGCCTCAGGCCGAGGAGGAACCCCGGCCGAGGGGTGCTACGTATATGCAGGTGTTATTCTCCCGATGTGCATATATATATATATATATATATATATATATATATATATATATCCCAAATTCTCTGTCCCTCATTCTCCCTCTCATTCTCTCTCTCTCTCTCTCTCTCTCTCTCTCTCTCGCTACGCGTGCAAAACGTGCTACACCTGGGTTTTCCTCCGCCACAAGGGGCGCAAATCGGGAATTGCACTCCCGAATCGCCACGCCCCTCGTTGCTTCCGGCGCTGGGGGGGGAAGCTTTCCGCTACCCCCGTTTCTAGATGCGGCCCCTCCCGCCAAGGAGGTGCTGGCACGAGCCGCTTGCACTCTCCGTCCGCGGACGAACACCACGTCCAAACAGCTGCGTTCCTCTCTCTCTGTCTCTCTCTTCTGACTCTCTCTCTCTCTCCCTTCCCCATCCTTCCCTACCTCACTGTGTGTGTACCTATATGTGTGTATGTGTGCATACGTATCCCTGTGAACACCGCATACGTACCCTGTGCTTTATCGACTGGCAGATCGACCACTACAGATGTACAAATTTACCGCTAGTTCTATGCATCACATCGTCTGTCGTGCCTGCGTGTCGCACCACGGCTTCACCGATGCTCTGCTCTTGGCGACCGACAACGCGGGCTGCGTGAGCCCTGGGGAAACCAACAGAAACAAATACTGGTGCTTCCAGCACCTCTCCCGAGGCGCCTTCTGGACAGGATTTCGTGGCGAATCCAGCGGTGGCGACGAGGGCCTCCAGGGAGGCCCAGGATGCCCAACAAGGGGAGCACGAGGGAAGGGTAGCGGTGTGGGTACCTCTTCCTCCTCTGAAGTTCACCGCTGCAGCAGCGAACTTCCTCGCACGGGCATGGTGTGCGAACAGAAGGCTGATGAGCGGAATTTCCACCACCACTTCCATAGGCAGGAGAACGGGGAGGAAGAAAGGGAGAAGGAGGAGGAGGGCATCCCCATCATCCCTTCTCCCCCGTCCTACCTACACCCTGCGAAATGCTAAAGAAATCATGGGTTAAGAAATTCATAGTCTCAGAACTTGAATAAAAGCCCAACATTTCTATTAAAATCTTAAGATTTACATTGAAACGTTAAGAATAATCGAGACTCTGGCCGAAAACTTAAATTTTCTCCAGCATCGCCTAGGGTGTGTGGTTGCGGTGGTGGAAGATCGCCTGATCATGACTGGGCCACACAGGTGGCATGTGTGTCCACACGCCGACCGCCGCTCCCGCGTGGTCCCCTGTGACTGTGCGCCGCACTGCGCAGGTATCGTAGCCCAGCCGCGTGCCGGCCTACAAGGGGGGGCATTCGCATGCTCCGCCCAGGCCAGGGAGTGAGAGAAGGGAATTCGACTGACAAGATCAACCCTACAGCGAGCACGACTCCAAGGCCGACGAAGTGGAGCACGCCCCACCCCCAGGCCTATCCTGGGCGATGAGGGCTGCGAGGCGTGAGACAAGGGGGAGGAGAAGGAGAAGGATACGGAGGAGGAGAAGGAGGAGGAGGAGGAGGAGCAGGAGGAGAAGCAGGAGCAGGAGCAGGAGCAGGAGGAGGAGGAGAAGGAGGAGGAGGAAGAGGAGGAGAAGGCATGGCCAGAGGAGGGAGAAGAGCAGCAACATCAGGAGGTGTAGCAAGACAGCGGTGCGC